GTGCATGGGCTGACGCTCAACCCACTGAGTGACACCTGCCAGGCTGGTTTCTTATCTTTTCCACATCGCGCCTCTCCAGTATCTCCACACGTTATAATAAAAATAGAGCTGTGTTTATTGAGGGCCTGCTTGGTGCTGGGCCTTTAAAGCACTATGGTTAGTGCTTTCCTTTCATCCCCTCAGTTCTCTCAGTAAGTCTATTGGTCGTGGTATCTCCATTTTACAAATGAGCACGTGAGATTTTGGGAGGTTAAGTAACTTCTCCAGGATCCAGTTTGAAGACGAGCTAGCTCTTCTACCCACATCTGTCCTCCCTAAGCCTAGGTACTGTCCACAATCACATCACAAATACTTACTGGGCACCTGTGGTTCTCTATCAGCTAGAAAAATTAAATGTTGACATAAGATAGAAATCATCATTCTCATGGAGCTCATTTTCTGCTAAATGCCAGACTATTACTTATGTTCAACACTCATTTCTTAACTCTTAAGTACCTGAAGATAAGGATTATAAATAAATACATAAGAAATTTATAAAGAAGTTATTTACTTAAATGCATTTGTAATTCATGTTGCTTAAAAAGCAGGAATCTTAGCCCTAGCTGGTTTGGCTCAGTGGATAGAGCAACGGCCTGCAGACTGAAGGGTCCCAGGTTTGATTCTGGTCAAAGGCACATGCCCACAGGTTGAGGGCTCAATCCCCAGTGGAGGATGTGCAGGAGGTGGCTGATCAATGGTTCTCTCTCATCACTTGAGGACAGGAGTCTTTTTTCTTTTAATATATTTTTTTAATTGATTTCAGAGAGGAAGGGAGAGGGAGAGAGAGATAGAAACATCAATGATGAGAGAGAATCATTGATCGGCTGCTTCCTGCACACCCACTACTGGGAATCGAGCCCGCAAACTAGGCATGTGCCCTTGATGGGAATTGAACCTGGGACCCTTCAGTCCGCAGGCCGGCGCTCTATCCACTGAGCCAAACCAGCCAGGGCCGACTTTGTTACCTCTGGTAGCACTTGCCTGTGCAGGCAGGAGACACAGTTGCAATCTCCCGATTTGCATAGTGCCGCCCCCTAGTGTGTTATCTTTCTCTTTGATTGCTGAGAGGCCTCCATTTCCCTTCTTCCAGGTTGTGGGCAGAATCCGGTTCGACAAGCCAGTGTGGGAGCAGGGATCCCCTACTCTGTTCCAGCATGGAGCTGCCAAATGATCTGTGGGTCAGGCCTCAAGGCCGTGTGCCTTGCAGCCCAGTCGATTCGGATAGGGGACTCCAGCATTGTGGTTGCAGGAGGCATGGAAAATATGAGCAAGGTAAGGCCCCGGGGAAATGGCTGTCAGACCTCTCGCCAGTAAACGCCTGTCCACGCCACGGCAGGGTAAATCGCTGCATTATCAGAGCTGGAACCAAGCAGTAAACAAATAAACAAAAAATGGATTCAACCTTGATCCCAACCTGAAAGTTAATTACTTTTCAAATTAGATGGGAAATTGGGGTTGAAGTAAAAGCTTGTCAACCAGTGTGATTACAATAGAATGGTTTTCCTAAAATATTAATGAAACAATATTTTCTGAATTAAACCTATAACATTAGTCGGTAGATATCCTTGGTCTTCAATTTCTTTCTCATTACGAGGAAAAGTCAGTGTTGCCACTTCCCTTCCTGCATGTGACAAAGAGGAACCCAGGGGCCAAGTTTTGTTCACCTTTGGGAGCTATAGAACATAGAGAGAGGACGGCTGAGCGGTGCCCTTCTCTAAGAAGTTTGCCAGGTGGGATTTGTTTCACCAAGTTCCATCCCTCCAACTGGCAGTGAAAAAGGAAAAAGTATATCCCCTGCTTCCGACAGGCAGGTCAGTGGGTGATCTGAGGAGCCCCTGGGCCAGGGGTGGGGAACCGTTTTTTCCACCAACGGCCATGTGGGTATTTACAACATCATTTGAGGGCCATACAAAATTGTCAACTTAAAAACTAGCTTGCTAGGCCCTAGCTGGTTTTGCTCAGTGGATAGAGCATCGGCTTGCAGACTTAAGGGTCCCAGGTTCGATTACAGTCAATGGCACGTACCTTGGTTGTGGGCTCCATCCCCCTGCATGAGGTATCCAATCAGTGTGTCTCTCTCAGATCTCTGTTTCTCTATCTCTTCCCCTTCCTTCTACTCTCTTCCATTCTCTAAAAAATCCATGGAAAAAATGTCCTCAGGTGAGGATTAACAAACTAACAAAAATTAGCCTGCTATATTTGGTCAAACATTTAATTGTTACACTCTCTAAAAAATCCATGGAAAAAATATCCTCAGGTGAGGATTAACAAGCAAAAATTAGCCTGCTATATTTGGTCAAACATTTAATTAACTCACCTCTAATGCTTGGCAGGGCCAGACCAAATGATTTTGGGGGCCTTATATGGTCTGTTCAGCATAGCCATTGCTGAGGCCCAGGGGAAGGCAGGCCTAAGGCAGCAAATAGGATTAGAGTGGTTATGATGGGACCCTACTAATATCTGTGTAGTCATATACGAGGTGCTTTTATACAGGCAGTCACAGCAGCCCTTAGGGGGTAGATGGTGTCATTGTTAATTTACAGGTAAGTAAATTGAGGCCCAGAGCCAGGATTCAAATATAGATCTTCTGACTCCCATGCTCTTCTCTTCTAGTACAGCTGCTATTGAGTTGGTGAGAGTTAAGAGGGTGCCCCTCCCAGAAATCCTCCCCTTCAGTTAATTAGGAAACCTAGTTATTATCACTGCAGGCATTATGCCTCCCATCAGAATAAGTAACACATTGTTCGCATCAGTTAAACTCTTGGATGAGGTCTTCATTTAACAGAGAGCTAGTTGCATCTGGAAAGAATGAATGAGGTTCTTAAGGAAATAGGACACAGAAGAGAGAGGTTTGATGGAAATGGAAATGGGTAGGTAGGAAAGTAACAGGCTCCCAGGAGTAGGCAGAGTGGGCTCTGGATCCGGGGTAAGGAGAGTAGGCTGGAATTGGGGAGTGGGTCACAAGGGGACTAGATGAGGACTTAGAGATTATGGAATAGTTAAGAGTGGTATCCTAGGCAGAGGACTAGTTATAACCAAGCCTAAATTCATTGGTATTTCTTTTTTTCAGGCTCCTCACCTGGTTCACTTGAGGACAGGAGTCAAGATTGGGGAAACACCACTGACTGACAGTATTCTCCATGATGGACTTACAGATGCATTTCACAACTACCACATGGGCATTACAGGTAAGGCGGGGGTGGCGGAGAACGTTCACTGTAGAAAGGTTAAGCATGTAATGAGTGACTCCACAGGGGCTTTCCTCATGAGACCATATGTCGTAAGTGGGCCACTTAAGTCCAGATCAGGGACATTTGACAAAAGAACTGGCCCCTGCTCTTCCAAAATATCAAGGTTAAGAAACACAGATAGTCTGAAGAACTCTACCAAATAAAAAGAATCTGAAGAAATTGACAGAGAAATGCAGTGCATGATCCTGGACTGAACAAATAAATTAGCTACAAGGAACATCACTGGGCCCTGCCGGTGTGGCTCAGTTGGTTGGGCATTCCATGCACCAAAAGGTTAATGGTTTGATTCCTGGTTAGGACACATGCCTTGGTTGGGGGCTCGATTCTGAGTAGGGGGCACGCAGGAGGTAGCTAATCCATGTTTCGTTTTCACATTGATGTTTCTCCCTCTCCCTTCCTCTAAAAATCAATAAAAATGTATTTTTAAAAAAAAGACATAATTGGGACAAGTGAAACGTGAATATAGACCAAAAATTACATAATAGTATTGTATTGATGATATATTTCCTAATTTTGAAAGCTGTGGTTATATAAGAAAATGGCCTTGTTTGTGGGGAAATATACATTGAAATGAAAATTTAGGGATAAAGGAGCAGGATATCTAGAACTTTCAAATGGTTCAGAAAGAGAATGATAAAGCAATTGGGGCAAAATAGACAATTGGGAAATCTGCATAAAGGAAATTTCTGAAAGTTTAACATTATTTAATGGAAAAGAGAGAAGGAAGGAAGCAAAGAAAGAAAATGGCTTCTTAGGTCCCTGCAAGATTTTCATATTCATTGCCAGTGGGAGGCAAGATTGCCAATAGAGCACTGTCCCTTAGCCTGCCAGCGAGCCTGCTGGTGTTGGGCTCTCAGTGCTTATTTAAATGTGAAAAACTTGAGCTACCAAAAACCAGTTCCTGTAAATGTTTATATTTTGCTTTGTCTGTTTTTTTCACAGCTGAAAATGTAGCCAAAAAATGGCAAGTGAATAGAGAAGATCAGGACAAGTTGGCAGTTCTGTCCCAGAACAGGACGGAGAGCGCACAGAAAGCTGGCCACTTTGACAAAGAGATTGTACCAGTGTTTGTGCCTTCTAGAAAAGGTGGGTTCAGGCCTGGCTGGCGTCAACCTATGAACCAGGAGGTCACAGTTCAATTCCTGGTCAGGTCACATGCCCGGGTTGCTAGCTCAGTCCCCAGTGTGGGGCATGCAGGAGGCAGCCAGTCAATGATTCATCATTGATGTTTCTGTCTCTCTCTCCTTGTCCATTCCTCTCTGAAATCAGTAAAAATATTTAAAAAAGAAAAGGTGGGTACATAAATCATAATGATTTAAACATCAACATAGCTCTTTATGAAAGGTATCCCCTGGAAGCCTCTGAATAAGGTTTGGGGTGTGGGGCAATGTTTATGGGGCGAGGAAACATGGGAAGCTGGGCCAGCATCCAGACAGTTGGTCCCAGTGTCCACACTGCTAGGTGGGTGGGGCCAGTTTCAGGAGAAACTAGAGCACTGACAGGTTGTGAGGCCACAGCTGGCCTGTTACAGGCTCATCTCAGAGGTGAACATCCATTACTTCCTCTTCTGTGTGTGGCTCCTATTTCTTGGGTGGATCTTTATGGGTCCCTTTGCTTTTACCTAATACTAGAGGCCCGGTACACGGATTTGTGCACGGGTGGGGCCCCTTGGCCTTGTTTGCGATCGAGGCTTATCGGGGGGCCAGCCAGCCGTGGGGAGGGACCCTGGGAGGTTGGCCTGCTGACCAGCGGGAAGTGGGGTGTAGGAGGTTGGCCAGGGGGTTGGGAGTGGGAGGTCAGGGGGAGGGGCGTGGGAGGTTGGCTGTGGGAGCGCACTGACCACCAGGGTTGAGCGTTTTCCCCCTGGTGGTCAGTGCGTGTCATAGCGAGTGTCGAACAGTTGTCCTGGCCGTTTGGTTGTAGTGGTCGCTTAGGCTTTATATATATAGATGGAGTGCTTGAGTCAAATTCTCTTAGCAATGAACTGACATCCCTTATGTCCAGCTCTAGTGAGGTTGGCTTTCACACTCCAGGATCCAGTCCTCTGTAAGCAGCCAAGTCCTGTGTCTGACCATAGCCGTCTTGCACAGAATACTCTGCCTTCCTCAGGCATGGAAAACACTCAGAATGCCTCATGACCATAGTGTTCATAAAATGTCCTAACATACAAACAATAAATGTTACTAGTGTGCATACTTTTCTCTTACTGGAATGAAAGTTCTTTTTAAATAAACCTCATCTTCAAATACGAATCTTCATGAATCAGGTCTGAGGAGCCCACCATTCGGAGTGTGCTGACTGCCATCTCTGACCTGACCTCAGGATTTATTTTCCTTTTCAGGTCTTATTGAAGTTAAAACAGATGAGTTTCCTCGCCATGGGAGCAACATAGAAGCCATGTCTAAACTAAAGCCTTACTTCCTTACGGATGGGACAGGAACAGTGACTGCAGCTAATGCTTCAGGTTAGGGTAAAAATTTTTTACTTGATTTTAGAGAGAGGAAGCAGGAAGACAAGTTGTTCCACTTATTGATGCATTCACTGGTTGCTTCTTATATGTGCCCTGACCAGGGATCAAACCCCAAACCTTGATGTATTGGGATGATGCTCTAACCCAGTGGTTGCCAACCTTTCGGACCTCACAGATCACCAGTGATCCATGGACCACTGGTTGGCGACCACTGCTCTAACCAACTGAGCTATCCGGCCAGGGCCAGGTTAGATTTTCTGAAGGACAGTTGGGGAATCCCATCTTCTGGTAATTCTACCACATTAATACCTTTTTTCTCTTATTTCATTATCTTTATACACGTTATTCTAAAACCTTGTTTTAGCAGCTTTAGGGGAAAATGTAGTTCTGTATAGTATTTGGTCATTAGTTTTTCCATACTTGATTAGAAGCTTAATCTATATGTACTGAATGAATGGATTTGCTTTACCAATATCCTAACTAAATGCACAAATGAAAAAGCAAATTAGGGAACCCGTTTATCTAGTATCATTGTACTTTTCCAAAACCAGAATCTGTTGTCAGTGTTCTCCCGTGAAGTTGGGGCTATTTCTTCCATTTTTTTTCATTAACCTCCCCTCCCCCACTGTTTTAATCATTCCACTTTCCCATTGGAATGTTTTGTATGTCTTATTGCCTAATTTACCATTTCAAATTACACAGTGAAGTCTGAAATATGGCAAATGGCTTTTGCCAAGATGTGTTAATAGAGAAAGTAAACAGATACACAACTGTGTAAGTTAATAAGCATTATTTTAGAAATCAAGACAGTTGTGTTTTGCAGGAATAAATGATGGTGCTGCTGCTGTGGTCCTTATGAAGAAGTCGGAGGCTGAGAACCGTGGGCTGACACCTTTAGCAGAGATAGTTTCCTGGTCACAAGCAGGAGTGGAGCCTTCCATTATGGGAATAGGACCAATTCCAGCAATAAAGCAAGCTGTGAGTTTACTTCTGAACGTCACCACCTGTCCTTTGCTGTTACTTTCTCTAAAGACTAGACCAATAACCTGCAACTGCATATTAAGGTCTGCCTTCTTAACTTGCCCAGATCCTTTCCACTCCAAAATGCCAAGATCAAGCTTTGTTTTCATGTTTATTCCTATCAGGTTTCATTTGTTGTTTCCCTTTTATGAAAGTCTTCCAATTAGCCTTAAGTGAGCCCATTCATCCCCTTTCCTATTTTCCCTACACAAAGGGCAGCCCAGAACATTTGGATCAAGGGGAGCGGATGCTATGTCACCTCTCCTACATCTGACAGATGTTACTGGTTCAAAATTTTAGTTTAGAATTTCCAAGGGCTGTTTTATCCTGAAGTCACTAGGCTGATGTAGCAGCCCCAAATGGCATTTTCTGAGATCCTTCAGTATCGTATATATTCTTTTTAATGTACAATGAAGAATGGTGCCACCCGAGTGTTTAGACCTCTCCCATTAATCTTTCCTTTAGGTTGCAAAAGCAGGCTGGTCACTGGAGGATGTGGACGTATTTGAAATCAATGAAGCCTTTGCAGCCCTCTCAGTTGCAATAACTAAGGAACTTGGATTGAACCCAGAGAAGGTAAACTTGAGTAAGCAGCCCTTCCTGAGAGCTTGCAAAACAGCAAAACACACATAGCATAGTTAGATCAAGTCCCAGGTATTGGCCATATGGTAGTAATTGGTGGGGCTGCAGGTTCATTTACCCTGTTGCTTCCAAAGGCAAAAACCCTAGACTGCATTGGTTTACTTCAAACATAACAGGGCTCCAAAAAAATTTTAAGTGAAGGACTAGGGAAGATAGGATAGATATCATATGGGTATAAATCAGAGGGTAGCTTACTGGTATAACATTAAGAGGAAAAAGGTATTAGTTTAGGATTTTAGCCCTCTATCTACAGAATGACAAGTCCTTTCTCCCTTTAGGTCAACATTCAAGGAGGGGCTATAGCCCTGGGCCACCCTCTTGGGGCATCCGGCTGTCGGATTCTCGTTACCCTGTTACACACAATGGAGCGAAAGGGTGGGCGTCGTGGTGTTGCTGCCCTATGCATTGGGGGTGGGATGGGGATAGCAATGTGTGTTCAGAGAGGGTGAACCTGCTTCATTAAACTTGAACCTCATTTCTTTCTACTAATAAGGCACTAATATGTGAAATCAGGACCAATGTGAGGGTGGGAGCCATCTTCCACTTCACAAGAACCCAGGGCTTGATGGGTGTACTTTTAATGTATAATATGCAAGGTACAACTGCATCTTACAGTGTTATAAATAAAAGAAACCAGATCAGTCATCAAGGGCTCCTGAGTGAACAGCATCTTCATAACCTCCATGCTTATCATCTTTGCTTTCTGGATGCAATTTAATAAGATCATCAATTCGAAGAATGGTAATTGCAGCTTCTGTTGCAAACTTCAAACTTTTAACTTTAACTACAGTTGGTTCAAACACCCCTGCTTGTTTGTTGTCTCGAGGTTTACCATTAACCAGATCAAGACCAATCCTGCAAGTTAGGGGGGAAAAAATCTATTAACAAAAATTAGCACAAAAAAGTTGCAGAAAGGCACTACATGGTAGTAAAGCTGTAAACACCATTACTGTATCATAAAGAGGTTGCTTAAAGATGGTTATGTATTGCCCCAAAAGAATATCCTGCATTCCTCTAGTGCAGCGGTTCTCAACCTATGGGTCGCAACCCTTTGGGGGTTGAACGACCCTTTCACAGGGGTTGCCTAAGACCATCGGAAAACACATATATAATTACATATTGTATTTGTGATTAAAAACTATGCTTTAATTATGTTCAATTTATAACAACGAAAATAAATCCTGCATATCAGATATTTACATTACGATTCATAACAGTAGCAAAATTACAGTTATGAAGGAGCAACAAAAATAATTTTATGGTTGGGGGTCATCACAACATGAGGAACTGTATTAAAGGGTCGCGGCATTAGGAAGGTTGAGAACCACTGCTCTAGTGGATCATCCTGTAAAGTGAGTACCCAGAGAGGCCAGGAGGGGTTAGTACAACCCAAGACACATCAATGCTAATGAAACCACCAGAGAACATGACGAATACATCTGATATACAGATGACAATGAAAAAGACAGGGAAATTGTATACTTACCATTTTAGATTCTTGCGTTCTGGGTTAACTTGAGCCTCATTATGAAAAGCTCTTAACTTTGCAACCAGATCAGTGGAGTCTTGGGCAGCATTAACTGCAAGTGTGTTAGGAATAACAAGAAGAGATCGTGCAAATTCTGCAATAGCAAGCTGTTCCCGAGATCCCTAGAAGACAGACAATGAGGTAGCATCAAAAAAGGAAGAATATCAAAAGACGCATTGACAGCTAGGGTTTCAGTTTCATGAGGGGGATTAACAAAACGCTTGAGACAATCTCCCGAGCGCTGCTTGGAAAGAAAGCGGGTCACTAGAGGTTCTTACCATGCTGGTTGCGTAGTTTTCGAGGTATATGGAAAGGGCTGCTTCCACAGCACCCCCACCCGGGACCACAGATTTTGACTCCAAAACTCTCTTCACCACACAAATAGCATCATGTAAAGAGCGCTCCATCTCATCACACATGTAGTCATTTGCCCCACGTAAGATAATTGATGCAGACGTGCGAGCCTTAGTGCTATTGAAAAAAGGAAGTGAAATTCTTAAAGCAACACTCTTATAAAAGAAATCTGTATAGACATTTATTTTAAGCACTTTGATGATCAAATCCCGCTTCCATAAGGACGTTCGTTTGTCTAGACCATGCATGCAGAAGAGATGAAATGGTTACTCCATCTCAATTGGCAATGGTCTAATGTTATTTTATCCCATGCGTATAACTGCTCATACCATTGAAAAGACTATAGCAGCAAATAAATGGGAAGGGGTCTGTTTTACTCATTAATAAAACCTATGTAGTTTTGTAATTTAGAAAGTAGCTCTTACTTTTTGACCAGGATCAGTTCATCATCACAAATTCTCTCCTGTACCACCTCTTCTGCTTGCCCCAGCATTGCTGCCTCAAAGGTTTCCTCGCCTTCCAAATTGGCCAGGCTTGACACAACAATTGCTATTAAGGTAATTACAAAGATCTGTAAACATTTTTATACCATCTTAGATTCAGGAACATTTATAAAAAAGCGATGCATAAATACAAGTTTACGGTTTACAGTTAGGCACCAGACATGGAACTGTCATTTTGAGGTTAAGAAATTCAGCAAACTAAAAAACTTTTTCAATTACATGAAAAATGGCCCTATAGATACATCTGTAGTACCAATCATTACAGGGAGGAGTAAAAGGAAAAGAGGATTGTTTTCTGAAGCTGCTTAATACTGACACCCCCATGTAAAGAGACATGGTCACGTACAGGAACATGAAACGTCACACCTGAGAGCTGGCAGAAGACATACCTCCAGAAGCTTTAGCAATGCGCTTAAGGTCCTTTTTTAAAACTCTTCTGACTGCCATTGCGCCAGCCTCCACAAAATACTTCAGACACATGTCGTCAATGCCACCAGTGGTGAGAATAACGTTGGCTCCAGTTGCCAGGATCTTCTGGATTCGTTCCTTGCTGATATCTGATTCTCTACAGATAAAGTATTTGCGTAGTAAGCCAAAGTTACCTTCTGTGTTTTTCATATAACAAAGCTTTAAGTTCCATAAGTATTTTTCACAAAATAATTGCAGATTAAGTTTTTTTTTACTCTTTCCCTTTTATGACCAGAATTTAAATCAGTCCAATTCACATGAAAGTTTCAGGCATTAAAAATCCCACTTAGCCAAAACCGGTTTGGCTCAGTGGATGGAGCGTTGGCCTGCGGACTGGGGGGTCCTGGGTTCGATTCCAGTCAAGGGCATGTGCCTGGGTTGCGGGCACATCCCCAGTGGGAGATGTGCAGGAGGCGGCTGATCGATGTTTCTCTCTCATCGATGTTTCTAACTGTCTCTCTCCCTTCCTCTCTGTAAAAAATCAATAAAATATATTTTAAAAAAAAAAAATCCCACTTAGCAACCCCAATTTGCATATCTAACCAAGAACTGTGATTAGGAAGTGTCCCTGCCTTCAATGATCTGGCAGCCTGTCAACCACAGTTTGTGGCCAGTGCTACCACAAGTACAATACGGAGACCACCAGCACATGGAAGACAGTAATCCATCCTGGCAGATGGGACAAGAAGGTCTGAAGTCAAGAGGGTTCCAGAGCTGAAACTGCAGGTAGGACCAGAACATGAAGAAGCCTGTAGGGGTGTTAAAGAGTCTGGACTGCTTCATCTTTTAAAATTAGGAATAGCATCATCAAATCTGTTTTCAAAAGGACCCCCTGATATCAACGTGGAAACCGTACTGGCAAGGTGAAGGACTGAGGCAAGAAGATAATCACTGGAGATACAGATGAGCAGAGGAGTGAGTCAAGTCTATAGCAGGGGTCCTCAAACTACGGCCTGCAGGCCACATGCAAATACAAATATTGTATTTGTTCCCGTTTTGTTTTTTTACTTCAAAATAAGATATGTGCAGTGTGCATAGGAATTTATTCATAGTTATTTTTTCAACTATAGTCCGGCCCTCCAACGGTCTGAGGGACAGTGAACTGGCCCCCTGTTTAAAAAGTTTGAGGACCCCTGGTCTATAGCTTAGCTAACGGAGGGTCAGCCTCCGACCCCTGGAGTAAGAGACATACTAGCAGGTTGCAGGCAAGATGAGAAGGCAGAGCTGATTTCAACAGCATGCGTTTGAAGTCGCTGTGTCATTCAGGTGATGCTTCCAGGAAGCAGACATGCATGGAAATCAAGCTCTGGGAGTCACTATATAGGTAAATGAAGCCATTTCACCTACCATTCAAGGAATAGTAGATAAGAGAATTCAAAGAATTCTTAAAGTAAAACGAATTGAATATTAACCTCAAAACAAACCTCTTTGTATATACTGAACAAAGACTGCATGCCAGAAACTACTAAACATGGGAGGCTACAAAGCCAAGGAAATCATTCAGTCTCTACCTTCAGAACTACAATCAAAGTCATACAAACACAGAAACTGTGCTAAGCCCCAGGAAGACAGGCATAGAAAGGCACAGTAGAGTGTAATTTAGATTGAGGGGTCAAGAGAAGCTTCTTTGAGAGACTGACCACTTAAAGAGCAAGTAAAAAAAACAGTCCTAGCTGGTCTGGCTCAGTGGATAGAGCGTCGGCCTACAGACTGAAAGGTTCGATTCCGGCCAAGGGCACATGACCAGGTTGTGAGCTTGATTCCCCACTAGGGGGCGTGCAGGAGGCAGGTGATCAATGATTCATCCTTAATGTTTCTCTCTCCCTCCCTTCTCCAAAATCAATAAAACTATATTTAAAATAATTAAAACAAGTAGGCAGAGAGTATGTTACAGGCAGAGGGAGAAGCATTCTAGTCTGTGGAGAATGTTTGTGAATCCTAGTCCCTGTTGTGGCTAGACTACAATGTAAGGAATATGGAAGGTATTAAAAAGGCTCTGGGCCCTAACCGGTTTGGCTCAATGGATAGAGCGTCGGCCTGCGGACTCAAGGGTCCCAGGTTCGATTCCAGTCAAGGGCATGTACCTTGGTTGCGGGCATATCCCCAGTAGGGGGTGTGCAGGAGGCAGCTGATGGATGTTTCTCTCTCATTGATGTTTTTAACTCTCTATCCCTCTCCCTTCCTCTCTGTAAAAAAATAAAATAGATTTTTAAAAAAAGGACTCTGGTCTTAGAAGTAATGACATGGACTTGGCTGCCATGTGGAAGGAGCCTGGGAGGGAAGGAATGAGAAATAAAGTGGCCTCCAGATGACCAGTGTGGGTGCTTCTGTAATAGTCTGAGCAAGAGAATGCAAATGGAAAATAGATGAATGTGAGATTTAATTTGAAGATAGAAATCAAGTGGTCTTAGTGAAAAAGTATGTTACTAGGTTAAAAAAAAAAGAGTTAAAGATACTTTCTAGCTTTCTGCCCGAGTAGAGGGCTTCCCATCATCAAAGTAATCAAGAGTAGATTGGGATATATCATCACAAGTTGTTTTAAGAAATATTCAACCAGACAAACACATGTGTGTTTGGTGCTCAGAGAACTAGATGTGAGAGTCTCCACATAATAACTGAGGTCACGGAATGAGGAGTTATCCTGGAGAGAGCAGGGGGCGGTAGCTGGCCAGGCACAGGAATACGGATGAGGCGGTAGCACAGAGCCACTCCACCCTCCAACCGTCTCAAGAAAGCAGTAGTCAAAGGCTCGATCAAGGTCAAGTGAAGATTGAACATGTCTAGTGAGTGTCA